AAAAAAAAAAAAAAAAAAAAAAAAAAAAGAAAAAAAAAAATACCCATGAAAATCGGTAATTACCTTAAGTGTGAATGAACTAGATGACTCAACTAAAAGCCAATCTAAAACCAAATGATATAGAAAAGTCAAAAATTTTTTAAAAAGTGTGCAAATAGTAACCAAAAAACCACACAAAAACCCATGTAGCTTTATCAATCGATAGCAGACAAAATAGATTTTAAGGCCAAAATCATTACTAGAAATAAAGACACAATGACAAGAGGTTTGATTTGTCAGGAAAATGAACAATTTTTAAATTGTGAGCACCTCCTAAAGTAACTTCAAAATATATAACACAAATATTGGGATAAATTCGAGGAGAAACAGACAAACTTCACAATCATTGTGGGAGATTACAACATATTTTCCTTAGTAATTGACAGAAAAGGCAGGGAAAAAAGTCAGGGAGAATCTAGAAGATTAATCAAGATTAAGAAACCTGACCCATCTGGGGCAGGACCTATCTGGGACCCTGCAGCCCACACCTGCAGAAGGCTCAACCTTTGCAAGGACGACCCGCAACATTTACAAAGAGTGACCCTGTCCTGGGCCATAAAGCATGGATTGAAATCATCCTGAGCGTGGTTTGACCACCTTCATTCTATCTAGAAATAAATTACTAAAAAAATATATAACTAGAAAATCCCCACCCGTTTGGGAATTAAGAAAATCACTTCACGGAAGAAATCATGACTCAAAAAGAAGCAGAAAGCAGAGCACCTAGCATGTGCCGGGCCTGTGCGCTCTCTCGTGACTCCTAACACGGAGGGTCTGTAGCAGGTCCCGTGGTCATCCCATCCCACAGAGAGGAAAGCTGAGGCTTCGAGGGGGCGTGACTCGTCCCACACCCAGCTAAAAAGCAGCCCAGGGCGGTCAGATGCTCTGAGGCTGGTACAATTAATACCCCCATTTTTCAGATGAGGAAACTGAGGCTTACAGTACAAGGCCAGTAAGTGGTAGGACTTGAACTGGGGATCGAACCGAGGTCTGGATGGATGTTAAGCCTTTACCAAGTGGGAAACCAAGGCTGATGGCTATTGTGACTTGCACAGGAACACACAGCTGGCGGTGGTAGGAGGCTGAGATCCAGGCCTGAGCTTCTGGAAAGAGAAATAAGTCTGGGAGGAAATGACCACAAATGCCTTCCACCCCACTGGACAGGAAGGGAAGGACAATGCCCCAGACAGACTCACCCCTGCCCCCCAGACACAGCGGCCCCGGGGCTGACAGGAGGCCATTATCTTGAGGTTTCAGGGGTGGGGGCAGCTGAGCAAACATCAGTCTGACACAAAATGGCCATTGAAAGAGTTTGGGACCTGGGGGAAGAGTGAGCTGCTGTGACAAGGCCCTGAGTGGAGAAGGGACGGGCTGCCTCAGAGCACCCAGCTGCCAACCCTCTCAACTTCTAGATGAGGAAGCTGAGGCCCAGACAAGTAGACACCAGCCTGGGATCACACAGCCGGTCAGACCCCATCGCTCCAGCTGCAAGATGGGGTACTGGGTGGAGCCCAATGGGAACCAGTGCAAAGCTTCAGGCATGAGTGGAGGAGCCCTGGAACCCACAAGTTGCCTACAGTTAGCCCTGGAGCCCCAACTCCAGGCGGCTCAGAGCAGCCCTAGCCCAGAGAGGCCCAGCAAGGAGTTCAAGGTCACACAGCAAGCGGAGGCTGTTAGTCCCTCCCTGCCCCGCCAGGGCTGCTTTCACTTTCTGGCCTGAGCTGTTTCCCACCTCACACCACCCCTGGCAACCCCCAACCACCAGCTGTCACCTTGGAGGGCAATGCAAGGCGGGTCAGATTTCCACAGAGCACATGGGTGCCAGGTGTGGCCGGAACATTTGGGAGGACAGGTGGGCAGAGGGGGTTGGTGGCAGCAAGAGGCTCCAGCTAGGGATCAGACTGCGGCAGCTGCTCTGCACCTGCTCTGGCCCGCCCAAGGGGGCCCAGCATGCCATGGGAGACCAGGCCCTGGGTCCGCATCCTGGTTCTGCCACTGAAACTGCCTTGTGACTCTGGTTTTGAGTCTCTTCCTCTCCTGAGCTCTCAGTTTCCCATCTGGATCTGGTAGCAGTAGGATGGGGGGTTGTTGTTATTATTTTTATTATTATTACCTCCTGGTGGCCAGAGAAGAAAAGGTCAGGAGGCCAGAGACCCTGAGCAGAGTGGCCTGGTAGGCACTTGGCCCCTGAAGTTCAGTCCTTCCTCTCTGACAGCCAGCGCTGCTGCCTGCAGCCCCCTCTGGACCATCTCCTGGTGTTGCTGACAGCCCTTCAGGGCTCCCCCCTGCTCACCTGCTGCCTGTGGTGGCACAGCCCATAAATCTTGTGAAATTAGAGTCACTCTGGCTGGAGCAGGGCCAGGAGCCCAGAATTCCACTCCTGGGTCCCCTCCTCCCCCTCATTTCACCTCTCCAGGAAGCTCCAAGCCTCCTTCTTGCACCTCAGGGTTCCATGACACCTACTTTGAGAACCCCTGCCTGGGGACTAGCCCCTTAGCTAGGTATTCCAGACCTCCATTTCTTGCGTCTCTCTCCAGCCTCTAATTCTTGTTTCCCCTCGGTGTCCCCCAGGTGGGCCTGTGCCCACCGCACCCCATTCCTGGCTGCTCCAGAAACAGGCTCTGCAACTACACTCATGTGGCCTTCGTAACTGCCAGTTCTGCCTCCCAGGATCTTTGCCCTGTTTTGTTTGCATCTGGCAAATACTTCCTTAACTCCCAAGGTGTAGAGCCATGGCCTCCTCCCAGAAGACCTCCCTGACTCCCTGAAGACAGCCCATTCCTCTTCCCTGAGCTCTCTCAGGCCCTGCAGAGCTCAGATGGCAGGAGAGGCTGGGGGTGGTGGTGAGGGGGTGCCCGGGGGCATGGCTCGGCTAGTACAGGAGGGAGGGAAGAAGCGGGGGAAGAAGGCAGAAGGCAGAAATGGGGTAGAGGACAGACACAAAGAAAGAAGGAAGGAAAGGGGAGGGGGAGGCCGGGCTGGGGCCTGGCAGCACCCAGGTCCTACCCATGTGAGCTGTGACCACCCGTGCCAGGCTCAGGAGGCCCCCAGAGCCGTCCATGTCACTGTGTGACCCGTGGGAGCGGCTCACACAGGCTCTGACTTCAGACAGCTCAGGCTCTGCTTCCTTCTCAGGATAAGGCCAGGGCTGGGGCAAATGGAACCTCAGTTTCCCCTTCTGTGGAGTGGAGGTAAAACTTCCTACCGGGCAGGATCATTATGAGTCACGTAAAATGAGGGATGTAAAAGGGAAACTAAAGAGAAGTCACTAGAAGGACTCTCACCCACAAACTGTTCACAGCCGCCTCCTTTGTGAGGCTGGAGGCACTGGGGGGTGAACAGACACTCCTGCCTTTTATTTTTCAGCCATCTATATACACTTATATATATTTTTTGTAGTGAGCATGTAACTTTCAATTAAAAATATTGGCTTGTGTGTTAGGAATAAAGCTGTGTACAATAATGTGTTGAATTTTCAGAAGGAGGGAGCGGGACCGAGGGTACCAGAGGTGGGAAAGGGAGAGAGGAGGAGGGTTGGGGGGAAATTGGTAAAGGGCCACAAAAACCGGTCACATTGTGTAGGGCTGAATATACTATCCTGACTTGAGCATCGTACCAGGAGATGGACACTGCACACAGGTATTGATATTCAACGCGGTACCCCACAGATATGTACAACCAATTATGTTTCAATAAAAAAAGAAGGAATAGAGCTGTGTAGAAGTGTGACAGGGGCCAGAAGAGGGACGGAGAAGCCAGACAGACACCTGCTTGCCGTGAGACCCGGACGGTGCCTTCCGGCTCCACCATAACCCCAGGGTCAGCATGGCAGGGCCTAGCTCCACGTGAGCAACTTGGGGGCCACAATCCTTGTAATGCAGGCACAGACTCAGCTGGAGAATGACAACGGTAGGCACTGGGAGCTTGGGACAGCGCCTCAGAGATTTCTCCTTCTCTGTAAGAGTCACCAGAACGTGGGAGAGACCCAAGGAGGCCCGTGGGTAACGTCCCTGACCCCAAGTGCTCAGAAGGCGGGCCCAGGGCCGGAAGAGGGGAGGGTGGTCAGGCCCCCTGAGCTTCTTGGGTTCCTTCTGGCATCCGGGTCGCTTTGCAACACAAACAATAACCATCTTGAAAAACACATACTCAGAATATAATAAGTAAATAAGACCAGGTTTCTAGGTCTGGCAAATCATACCCCAGGAGGGGCCGGCCCGTGGCTCACTTGGGAGAGCGTGGTGCTGACAACATCGAGTCAGGGGTTAAGATCCCCTTACTGGTCATCTTTAAAAATAAAAAAACCATACCCCAGGAGAGCCGGGGTGTAGGTGTGAACCCGACGCCACACAGAGCAGCCCGGAGGCCAGAGGCCTGCAGAGAAGAAAGCGCCATCACTCCACTTTTCTAGAAAGGGTGAGCCCAGCGGTCATGGACTAGGGAGGCCAAAGTTGTCGCCAAGCACAGTCGGGGACAGATTGTTGAGGAGGTGATTTGAGAGTGCTCAGAAAAGGAAGTGGTGACCAGAAATAGCCACATGGGTCACAGGGAATTAAACCAAGTCACTCTTGCCACTCTCCTCTAATAAAGGGTGACAGAGCCCAATCCAGACACAGGCCACCTGGGTTTCTGTAAATCCTAAGAATTTTTATTGATATCTTTGGGGCTACAATGAAAAAATGGGGACTCACAATACAATAGTGCTTTATGATAACACAACTCACCAATGCAGCACCAACCACGTGCCAGACGCCATTCCAAGCACTTTACATGGATTAACCCACCCCCAACGCAAACACTGTGAGGCAGGTATTAATCACCATCCTCGCTGTAGCGTGGAGGAAAAGGAGGCACTGAACAGCTAGGTAACTGGCCCGAGGTCAAAACTGGTGGGGGACCGAGCCAGATCCCAACGCAGCTGTCTGGCTCCTGAGCCCACAGGCAGGTTTTAAGCTGACTTAGAGACCCCGGACTGATTAGCAGAGCAGGGCGGGGGTGGGGGAGAAGCCGGGATCTTACCAGGGCTGCCTATCAAGATGCGCTGCCCTTGCCCAGCCGGACAGTGGCCACGTGTCCCCAGCTGGGTCGATCGGATGCTCTCCAAGGATTCTGAACCACTTGGCTTCTCGCTGGATGGGGAGTTCATGTGGAAGCCCCCAGCCTCCTGCTCGTCTGTGACCCCCTAGCCTCTTCCCATAGGGTCCCTTGGCCATCCATGGTTTCTGCTGTTGGCACCTGGAAAACCCTGCTTGAGGTCGCAGCTCTATCACCTTTCCTGCCCACCAGACCTCTCCTCTCTCCAACCCCACGGTCCTGACGGGTGTCGATGGGTGCAAAATGAAAATCATGCAGGTCTCTAGCGATAGATCCCAGGGCTCCATCTTTACCCCTGTCCTGTTGATCATCATTTCCCCAATTTGGATTTAAAACACAGAAGCCCAGGGGGCCGGCCTGTGGCTCACTCAGGAGAGTGCGGTGCTGATTACACCAAGGCCATGGGTTCGGATCCCATATAGGGATGGCCGGTTAGCTCATTGGGTGAGCGTGGTGCTGACAACACCAAGTCAAGGGTTAAGATCCCCTTACCGGTCATCTTTTAAAAATAAATAAATAAATAATAAAACACAGAAGCCCAGCTCAGGCAATTCGCAGCTGTCGCAGTGGCAGAATTAATGCTTTGTGCAGTGGAAGGAGGACTCTTACAATGCTTTCAAGACTAGAGGGCTGGATGGGAGCCAGGAAGATGACATTTAACCAGCATAATGTAAGGTCTTGCGTATGTTTCTGGAGTGTCCATTATGCAAGTACTAGATCGCGGAGGGAGAGCTGGCTGGACAGTAGCTCATGGGAAACAGCTCGCATGCATTTGCAGTGAATAATGTAGCTGTTGAAAACCAAATGCCTCTAGTGCTGCAGACTGCATGACTAGAGACCGCCGGTCTAGAACACTGGAGATGACAGAACCTTTCAACTTGGCGGCTGTCAGTCCCTATGGGAGCAGGTTTCTAGTTCTGGTCCCCACAATTTAGGAGGAACAATGACAAATTACAATAAGGGTGGCCCTTATGGGGGAAACCACAGCAACTTAAGGGCATTGATTACAGCTCAGGGGAGCCTTGGGGAGCCAGAATCCATGCATATAAATAACTGCAGGCAGATTCCAGAGAAGAGATCTGCTCCTGAATACACAGGATTAGGGACCAGCTTTGGGAAATTACAGAGATGTCTTAGTCAGGGCCCTTTGGGTGGCAAGTAACCGAAACCTACAGGAGCTCACTCAGCAGAAAGAGGAATTTATTCAAAGGAAACAGGTATATTTTAGGACCTGCAGGCCGGAGGGGCAGCCTCAGGGGTGGGAGCTGGGAGCTGGCAGGAGCCAGGGCGGCCTGACTCTCCTACTGTCTCCTGTCTGCTTCCTCTCTAGCCATGAAACAGCTTTGTCGGGGCACCGGTCAGCAAACACTGCCCAGCCCTGGCACTGCATAATGCCCCACACCACCCCCATCCCCAGCGGTTCCACTGAGCAGTTCAGGACCGGGGGCTGGAGGGCAAGGAAGGGGGCAGGGATGAGGGAGCTGAGAAGAGGAAGCCAGGAAGAGTCAGGAGAGGTGGGCAGGGGCCAGACGGGCAGGGCCCACTACAGAATAACCGCACAAACACCTGGGTGCCCCCTGCCCAGCTTAGAGTGGAATGCCACCAGGAGGCCCATGTGCCTGCCTTGTCTGGTCCCCTGCCTTCCTCTCCCCAGAGTTAACCACTCTAGGGATCTGGGGAGTCCTTGTTCCCTTTCCTTTCTCCACAGGTTGACTACACATGTATGTCTGCCTAAGTAATGGACGGTTCTCTCTCGCATGTCCTGATTTTTGTATGGGGCATCATGCTATACTTCTTCTGTCATGTCACCTTTTTGTTGAGCATGTTTGTAAGACGTTTGCATGGTGACAGGCCTAGCTGAGAAGAGGCAAGGCTGGTCCAGGACTACAGTTTACCTTCAGGGGACAGAGCGACAGTGAGAAAGGCCAGCACAGCATCCAGCCTGGAAATCCTGGCAGAGCCCCTTCCCCAGACAACCTGAGCTGAGTGCAATGGCTTCCTGAGAAGGAGACAGTCAATGGTGGAAAGTGTCCCTAAGGATCTTCTCGGGAGAGACTGGGATCTGGGTCTCCTAATCCCATGGGCAGGGAGAAATACTTTCACTGTCACCATAACTGTGACCTACTCACGTGTCCCCATGGAGCACACCCTGCAGGTGCAGCCCCTGCCCAAACCCAGGGCTGGCACCCCCTCAGCTCCTGCAGGGCAAGAAGCCGGATCACCCCTGGTCACTAGGCCCCCTCTACATCATGAAGTGTCCCTGGGCTGTGGGTCCCTTGGGTGAGTCTGGCAAAGGGCATTTGGAGCTTTGGGCCTAGGTTTTAAGCTAAAGGGACCAAGGTGGATGTCACAGCCTCTCCCACCTTCTCTGAGCAGTTACTGAGCACCAGTTGTCTGAGACAGGCATCATCTCACCGACTCCTCCCAAGGCAACCACAGTGAGCACCACCATTCTACAGATGAGGAAACTGAGGTACTGAGGGATCAGGCAGCTTGCCCAAGGTCTCAGAGCTGGCAGTTGGCCTCTGGCTCTAACAGCCCTTATCTAGGGCAGGAGCTCTGACTTAGTCTGGGGGCGGGGGTGGACGAGGGAAGGCTGGGCCAGGGGAAGTGATGTTTGGGCTAGATCCGAAGGCCAGGATGGGGAAGAACGCTCCAGGCAGGCAGACAGTCCCTGTGTGTGTGCAAACCCAGGGCAGTGGTTCAGGTGATGGGAGGGAAGACAGGGCACAGTGGCCGTGCTCAAGGAGCAAGGGGCGGGCAGTGGGGGGCAGGATGAGGCAGGAGAGGTAGGCGTGAGACTCTGGGCCCCAGGGCCCTGGGATTCATGGCCAGCGGTTTCAACTACAGACTCTTGAGCCAAGCAGACAGATTTTAACACAGCTCCACCCCCACTGGCTGAGTGGTCACTGGGCCTAGTGGACGAGGTCTATCCAGAGGGTCCTGGAAGAGATGCATTGGGCCAAAGGAGATGGCTCTGGGCCTTCTAGGTAGACCTGAGCACCAGGTGGCTGGAGAATGTGCCCAGAGACAGGACATGGGGTGGGGGAGGCTGAGCAGAGGGAGGGAGAGTCAGCTATGGGGGATGTGTGTCTGGGAACCTCAGCCGGGTCCCTGAGGAGCCAACTCAGTGACCTGGGCCCTCTGGGAGCTGGGATGGGGAGGGGCCACCTCAAAGCCACCATTGTCGCCCCCTCACCCGCCTGACTTTCTGGGGCCTAAAATAGCACAGGAGCACAGTGGATCTCGTGAGAAGTTTCTGGCAAAAGGGTCTTGGGGGAGGGGTATGAGTCACCACTGGGAACCCTTGAGTTTGAAACTCCCAAAGCCCAGCTGCCGGGCCCCTGCCCCCAGGGAGCCTGG